TGTGTGTGTGCATGTATGTGTAGGCATGTGTGTGCATGCATGTGTAGGTGTGAGTGTCGTATTTGTTGCATATGTTGTGTGTATGTGTGTTGTGTGTGATATATGTGTGCGTATTTTTGTGTTTGCATATGTATGTGTTTTCCATGTGCCTGTATGTGTGTTGTGTGTATATGTGTTTGTATGCATATGTGTGTTGTGTATTTATGTGTTGTGTGTGTTTGTGTGTATGTATGTTATATGTGTAAATGTTTATGTTTTTGTGTATGTGTTGTGTGTTTGTGTGTGTTGTATGTTTCTGTGTTGTGTTATGTGTTCTGTAGGTTCTGTTGTGTGTTTGTGTTTTTGTGTGCACATGTGTTATGTATACTCATGTGTATGTGCATGTTACGTATTCTGTGTGTATTGTGGGTGTTACCTGTTAGATGAGTGTTTGGTGTTACATGTTGTATGAATGTATGTGTATGTACCCGCTGTGCTCAGTGTGGTCAACACCGCTCTGGTCCCAGGGACTTTCCGGGAGCTTGCAACCTGTGGGAAGCAATCCTCAGAGACCACCCGACAGACATGCTGGCCCTGAAGTTCTCCCACGATGCCTACTTCTACCTGGGCCTCCAGCAGCAGATGAGAGATTCCGCTGCTCGTGTTTACCCCTTCTGGACCCCGGACATGCCCCTCAGCAGGTGTGTGGCAGCCAGGAATCACACGCTCCTCTTTTTTTCCGTTAAAATCACGTACTTTATTTGTTGCTGTTGGAAACACACATAGGAGACACAGGCCGACCCAGCCATCTCCTCCAAGGATGACCCAGGGGCAGTGATGGGGATGGGAGTCATCTGTGTGCGAGGAGCCTCACCCTCCTCTCAGAGTTCGTGTAAGCCCACTGTCCTCTATGCCTCTTATTTGACCTTCCAGTTGTCCATGTCAGTGATCCCATTTGGGCACTGCCACCAGGTCCATTTCAACACATAGCGACCCCTGCAGGACACAGTAAAACTGCCCCATGGGGTCTCTGAGGCAGTGAGCTTTTAGAACAGCAAACAGACTCATCTTTCTCCTGAAGAGCAGCTGTTGGGTTTGAACCGCCAACCTTCTGGTCAGCAGCCCAGTGTTGAACCCACCACTCTGGCCTCACAGTCGTTGTTGTGTGTGAGTCCACAGTTGCAGTCCGCGGGTCAATCCATGGCCTTGGCCATCTTCCTCTGTGCCCCAACCCTCTGCTAGGACTGACCCATTATGGTTAACTAAAGTCCACAGCTCACACTGGGGCTCGCTCCAGTGTCCCCGGGACAGGCTGGCGGGATAGCTGCCCTGCCTACGCCATCCCGTGCGTGCTCTGTTTCTAAGGACGTTTCTTCCGTTTTCAGCTACGTGAAAGGCATTTATTCTTTCGGATTGATGGAAACCAACCTCTACGATCAGGCGGAAAAGCTCGCCAAGGAGGTGAGAGGACCCTTCCCAAGATGCCTGCCCTTCTGGGACGGCCATCCCATCTAGGTCCGGCCGAGGAAAAGAGGGTCCCCCATCTTGGTTGTGAGAGACCCCGGCAAGCCCTCTTCCTTCTCTGGCCTCATTCTCTCAGTGATCTGGGGGGCTGTGTTTGCACGCAGTCCTGTCCTGTGTGGACTGGGTAGCTACCGCGTGTCCAAGCAGCATTTGGTACTCGTGCCTCACCCCCACGCCCATGGCCTTCCCAAGGTCTTCAGAGCCACGTGGGACAGCAGACGGTGGTATTGTCCCTGGTGCACGATGAAGGGACAAGGGATGAGGCTTGGGCATGTACAACATGGTATAGCCCTGGGATTGTGCCCAACTCTCTCCCAAGCCCACGCTTTGTGGGGAGGGCCTCTCTTGATGGAGGCTAACAGGTGACTGAGAAGCTTTCCTCCTCAAACTGTAGGCTTCCAGGTGTCGCCAGAAGTACCCGAAGTCCAGGCAGTGGGGTCATGGCTCTGGGTGGATGTGCTAATCTGGGTAGACCTAGAGAAACAAAATTCATGGACACTCATATATGTATAAGAAAGAGCTTGATATACAAGAGCAATTGAATATTCAGAACACATCCCAGCCCATGTGTCCAATACCAATCTATCAAGCCCGCTTCAGACTCATGAAACACATGCAATGACACCAAATGCAGGAAGATCACAAGCCAGTGGTGGGAAGTTTTGTGAATCCAATGGCATTGTAAGCATCTCAGCGCTGGCAGGAGTCTCCACATGGCTTCTCCAGCTCAGGGCTCTAAGGTAGCTCCATGTGTCTTGCCAGCTGCAATGTCTCCCAAGGAGTGAGCGTGTGTCCCACCTCCAGTGAGCTATTTATCTCCTTAATGTCACCAATGAGGTCATCAAGCTGCGACCTGATTGACAGGCTAAACTCCCCCCCTTCACTCTTAATCCTCTCAAATTGACAACACATGATATAACGACCACAGTGGACCTGAGTGGGCAGCCTCCTGAAGGGGTGGACCTTTCCCTGGACCACCACCCCTGTCAGGAGAGACAGAGCTCAGGCAGGACATGTTGGGTGCTGTGGGGTCAATGTCCACTTGGAGTGACCCTGCATGACAGAGTAGAAGTGACCATTTACACCAGGGGTGCTCCCACTTTTCCAACATGCGAGCTACTTACAAAATGATCAAGTCAAAATGATCTACCAACTACAAAAATGCAAAACGTATATTTCTATTTATTTAATACATTTATTCATACATGCATTGAGGATTCTCTATATGTACAATGTATGTTTATGTACCTTGCATCACTGCATGAGTCCATATTGCACAACACAACACAATTAACTGGACATTTTTTGTCATGACCCGAGTTTACTCTGATGACTTTCACGGAATGGAGTGATCCAGGGATGCATAGTCCGGACAGTAGCTGCTGACGGCCAGCCTCAAGCACACTTCCAAATGATCATCAGTCATGTGGAACGTACTTGGACTTAATGATCTTTATGTGGGAAAAGGCTGACTCACAGAAATAAGTAGA